TGCTCCAATGAAAACACCGGCGCGTTTGTTTGACCTCCGAAGGAGGTAGGAGAGGCGCGCGGATTGGTGACTTCCTGTCGGCGGTTCTTGCCTTGATTGAGTACTCCCCTGAGCAGAAGTAACTGCCATCGCTAATGGCGTCCAATAGATTTGATTCAACATATCTGCAGGAGCTCAGCTACCTATCAGTCTGCTTAAGTGAGTGCAGTTGCTACCAGAACTGAAAATGTAAGTCAAACGTTTTTAGTTGCTTATTTATAGACAGTGTCACGTAACTTCGAACAAGGCCCCGCATTCCTAGTCAAATCCCGCGCACAGCTTGTGGTGGGAGGAGCTTCTTAACACTCGTTCTTCCACGTGTTTCATTGAAACTACCCTATTCTCTTTTCGAAGAACATATTACAATAATACAAACATATTGTCACTCGTCATGCAAATAAAATACGTTTAGTGTGTATTACTAATTTATACTTTGAAAATTAAAATATAACAGTCATATGTAATGAAGAAAAGAATTTAGCCATTCGTCATGGGAGTACATGTACAAACTGACGTTTTTAAACAGATGATAGAAAAACCGTAAGTATAACCTGCTTCGAGGGTGCCTTACAAACAACTGGCCGCCTGTCACTTCTCACACCCTCGAACCCACCTCCTTGTCTGAAATTTTTCTTCTGCGCGTTCAGGGTTACTCTTGGCCCTGTTCGAAGTTACGTGACACTTGCTATAACAAAGCTGTCAATTTTGAGACTAAGTTCACGGAGTTGAGCCCTTCTGGAGAAGCCGCCAGTTGTGCATGTACTCAAGAATTTCTCAGCATTTTTTGGAACACGATGGTTCATCACCGTGTTCACAAGAGCCCTCCACTGGTTCCTACCCTGAGCCAGATCAATCCAGTTCATACCATCCCATCCTATCTCTCTAAGATCCATCTTAATAACACTCTTTAATTTATTTTTTGCCTTTTACTTCATCTGTCTTAGATGCATATAGGCTTATGTAGTGTGTTTTAAGAAACTCGTAATTTGTTCCCCTCGAAAGAAGGATCGTTCTGGCACAAAGTACTAAACAAGGGACGGTTTTCTTGTTTCACACATCGTAAGAAATGATACGTAATTATTCCACATCTCTGCCCATGTTGAATTAGAATTTAGTAGCAGGGAAACAATCTTGAATCAAACGCGGTTACGGTCGGAAGGTAAATTCATGATTGAGTTGCATGTTGTAAAAATGAGCGACTTTTCTTTTAATGTTTGTTAATTGACATTCATTTTGTGCTATAACAGGATGAAATGCTGTTCCGTTTACAATGATTCTCTGTGATATATTTTCACAGGTTAAAATGAGTTAAAATGAAATATACAAATATAAAGTAGCTAATTAAACGCGCTTCTTGAATTTCAGGTCACACAAAGGGAGAAGAGAGCGCTCATGCTTGCTGAGAACACAAGTCCGTTTACTGCACGAAAAGCAATATTGAATTCTTCTTCGAAGTATTTTCCCTTTAACCGAATTTTCCTCTACCTGTCTGTCTTACTGAATTCTTGAAATTAATTTTATCGAGCTCTCTGCCTCCGTGTAGAAAATTACATGTATTGTAAGCAGGCCAGCACCTGGCTCGGAACAAGTGAACTGCTGATTTTAGCGAGGTCGGCAGAAGCTCAAGGGCGTCGGGGCGCCTGAGCCGACTGGAGCTACAAGTCAGCAAGGAGGGTTTGGAATTTAAAATTCAGTAGAAATTGCGTTTTTATGAGGATAAGGGAGTTATTAGCCAGTCTGTGCCCATTCGGGAGCTGAAAAACGAATTTTAGATTTGTTTTCCATCCAGGAAATACACTTGGTCGTCGACTTACGACCGGCCCCCCAAAAAAAAACGAAAAATAAAAGATGTTTAAAATGTAAAAGTTTTCAAAAATAAATTATAAAGATGATAAAAGAATTAGAAAGGTTAAACAATACTGTTAATAAATATATGGCCGATATACGCTCAGATCGACTTACGACCTGTCAGTCAGAACGGAAGTCGGTCGTAAGTCGAAGACCAAGAGTACTCGTAACTGCAGATGAATTTACATTGTGGACGCCTGCAGGTCTAGTATACGTCGGTTAAATATTAATTTTTCGTTATAGAGTAGTGACATAAAAGCAAAATAAGCATAATTCGCACCCTTCGCCAGGTGAATTTAACGTGAAAAACTCTGAATGACAGGCCTCTCCATAGCTCAGGCGGTTAGTCGCCGGCTTCCCACCGCGGTTGCACGAGTTCGACCCTAGGTCACATGGGATTTGTGGTGGCTAAAGTGGCACTGGTGCAGGTTTTCTAAGAGCACTTCGGTTTTCCTTGCCAATTCTCATTCCACCGACTCCTCCTCTCAAACCTATCATCCGGGGCTGGTACAATAGGCCAGTATTGGCCGACGTACCAAGCGGACTCAGTCTCACCCCACCCCAAAACTAAAAAACTCAGAATGACCAAATGGGCAGGCCATGTGTTACGAAAAGGAGTGATGATATATACATACAAGAATTTTTAAGCGATGCTAAGTGGGCCCATTTTCACTGCGGCATGGCGCGTCCTCAGGTCGCGGATGGAAGTGACGGCCTCCAGATATGGAGCGTATCTTCTAATATATTAGATAAGGGGTTGCGGACAGTCGACAATGGGTGATCCTCCAGTTTGAATGTTGGGCGTGGGGCTAAAATTCCTAATCATAGAAAATAAGCTAGGTATTGGCTTGATCAATCTGGCTCAGGATTGGGACCAGTGGAGGATTTTTGTGAACACGGTATAAAATATTATGAATATCTTGAGTAGCTGCACAATTGACGGCTTGTCCAGAAGGTCTCACCTCCATGGAGTCAGTTAGTTGGTTATGCAGAGTTTTCAAGCCCAGGCATGGACCCCAAATGTGGGGACATTATTACAATAGATCTTGAAGGAACAGCATGAGAGGGTGTGAACTGGATTCATCTGGCTCAGGATACGGAAATGTGGTGGGATTGTTATTTATTTTATTGTTGGAATCGATCCCGAGACGTTTTGTGTGCCAGTAAGCTCATCACTTAAACACTGGTGTTTCTCCGATTTCAATCGAAGCCTTTAGCAATTTGGAACAAAGAGTGAGTAATAACAAATATGTTAGTATAAAAAAGACGGTCACATCAAGGCGGGAGTGGAATCAACTTCGAAACGTCGCCTTTATTTATTTATTTATTTACGGGCTATGTAACAATTCTACAATTCTTAGGCTATATATTGTCGCGTGTTGCCTATCACACCGTTGCCTATCAATGGACGTGTCTTCTCGCCCGGCTTTTTGGCGGCACGCCACAATATCATGGAAACGTAAGGCGATTAATGAAATTGAAAATGTGGAAGGAAGCTGTCGCGGCCTGACTTTAGACTCTGATCGCTGCATTTGTATTGAGGTACTGAAGAATGCCACGTCAGAAGAGCCGATATCCCGGCAATCCTAAGCTGTTACAATCCATTTAACTATACAACACTATCCAGATTAAGCCTCTTACCTAGGCCTATTTCGTTACTTTTTCTTTCTTTCTCTCTGTTTCCTCTTTTCTCAATTCTTCCCTTCTCTGTGAGGTCTTAATACCACACCTTCAAACCAAGCTGAAAATCTACTTACAAAAAATCCTCAAAAGACACGACGATCGCATCTGATAATGGTAGAAATCAAGAAGATTGATAAAAGGGAACATGCAATATGCCTGCGGGGGGGAACAAATTTCTTTGAGAAATATCGCAGAGTTATGAAAAGTTACTCTACTAGAAATAGGCTTGAATAAAAAGTACTCGGAGACCTGAAGCACGTACTCCCTGCTGCAACATTAAGGTAGCATTTTGCCCACGTTATGATTGTCAGAGCAAACACAGAGGGCTCCTTTTACTTACTTACGGAGCTGAGTCCTTCATGAGAAGCCAAATCTGCAGCTACTCAAGAATGTCCCAGCATTTTATGGAACCGAAAGGTTCATTACCGTGTTCACAAGAGCACTCCACTGGTCCCTATCCTGAGCCAGATCAATCCAATCAAATTTCTCTATGATCCATTTTAATATTATCCACCCATCTACGCCTTGGACTTCCCAGTGGTCTCTTTCCTTCTGGCTTTCCCACCAATATCTTATATGCATTGTTATTCTCCTCCATTCGTGCTACATGCCATGCCCACCTCATCCTCCTTGACTTGATCATTCTAATTATACTTGGAGAAGAGTACAAGTTATGAAGCTTCTCATTATGCAGTTTTCTCCAACATCCTGTCACTTCATCTCTCTGCGGTCCAAATATTCTCCTCAAACACCCTCAGTCTGTGTTCCTCCCTTAATGTCAGAGACCAAGTTTCACAACCATACAATACCATAGGCAAAATTATAGTTTGTATATCAGAGTGATACCCTAACCAACATTAAGCGACCGGTGTTTGTAATGGAGATTCCGTGTGCTTTCTGCAAGGAGTGAACTGAATCATTTCATATTATTTCGACGAATTTCAGGCTTCAGACCTCTCTTATACAATGAACATAAATTACTGGGCTTGAGGGGAGGCCTACTATAGACACTATTGTGGTAACTGTGATGGATCATATTCGACCCTGAAGATGGGAGAGATATGTTCCTCTGAAACATTGGGTTTTATCCGAATGACGTGGCAGTATAGCCCACAAGACCATTTTGTTTAAGATCCACCTACTCTTATCAGAGGAGGTTAGAAATTTCTCAAAACTACCAGCCTGAATTCTGTCAGGTTCAACGCCCCATGTTTCCACCAGTCCACGTTTAGAAAGAGGTCACTGTAATCCGGTTCAGTTCGACATCCATATTTAAGATACTGGATTTCATGAGCTCACTGAGGTTACACATTACACTGCAGCCATTTTGTTCTTTCTAAATAACAATACTGTTTCAATTCAGCACACACACACACACACACACACACACACACATACGAAATGATAAAAGGTTTTTGTGTGTTCTGTACCTTGAATATGCCAAAGAGCAGGACGATGCTCAGCACCACCATGAAGAGCTGCGTGCCAATAGTTGCGCAGTAGGCCATCTGCACTCCTGCAACAAGAAGAGGCCTTAACCGGCTGAACCGAGCAGACCTACCTATCGTGAATTTCTGAGCTCGAGAAGTGAACTGGTGAACATTTCCGGAATCGAGACGAGAACGACAGTTTCCCTAGCTTGTCATACTATCTTTATTGCAACAATTAACAATCAAGTTCCTTCCGTCAAATGTGACACTTTTTTAAGTTTTCCACCTCGTCAGCACCTGCCTTACATGTTTCGGCTCACCACGGAGCCATCATCAGAGGCATTTATAGTAGAAAAAGAAATCACCAACACACAAAACTTCACTTTGTCCAAGATAG